AGAGAGGACACAAACAGATGGAGAAACATTCCACATTCATGGTTAGGAAGAATCAATATCGTGAAAATGGCCATATAGCCCAAAGTAATTTATAGATTCAATGCTATCCCCATCAATTACCAATGACCTTCTTCACAGAACTGGAAAAAAAACCCTTAAACTTCATATGGAACCAAAAGAGAGCCCACATAGCCAAGTCAATTCTAAGCAAAAAGAACAAAGCAGGAGGCATCATGCTACCTGACTTCAAACTATACTACAAGGCTACAGTAATCAAAACAGCATGGCACTGGTACCAAAACGGAGATAACCAAAACGGAGATATAGACCAATGGACCAGAACAGAGGCCTAGGAGGCAATGCCACACATCTATAACCATCTGGTCTTTGACAAACCTAACAAAAACGAGCAATGGGGAAAGAAGTCCCTGTTTAATAAATTGTGTTGGAAAAACTGGCTAGCCATGGGCAGAAAGCAGAAATTGGACCCCTTCCTGAGACCTTACACTAAAATTAACTCCAGATGGATTAAAGACTTAAACATAAGACCTAACACCATAAAAACCGTAGAAATAAAATCTAGGCAAAACCATTCACGACATAGGCGTAGGCAAGGACTTCATGACTAAAACACCAAAAGCATTGACAACAAAAGCCAAAATAGACAAATGGGACCTAATCAAACTCCACAGCTTCTGAACGGCAAAAGAAACAGTCATTAGAGTGAATCGGCAACCAACAGAATGGGAAAAAATTTTTGCAGTCTACCCATCTGACAAAGGACTGATATCCAGAATCTACAAACAACTAAAACAGATTTACAAGAAAAAAACAAACAAGCCCATTCAAAAGTGGGTGAAGGATATGAACAGACACTTTACAAAAGAAGAATACATGAGGCCAACAAACATATGAAAAAATGCTCATCATCACTGGTCATTAGAGAAATGCAAATAAAAATCACATTGAGATACCAACTCACGCCAGTTAGAATGTATATCATTAAAAAATCTGGAGACAACAGATGCTGGAGGGGATGTAGAGAAATAGGAACACTTTTACACTGTTGGTGGGAGTGTAAATTAGTTCCACCATTGTGGAAGACAGTGTGGCTATTTCTCAAGGACCTAGGAATAGAAATTCAATTTGACCCAGCAATCTCATTACTGGGTATATATCCAAAGGATTATAAATCGTTCTACTACAAGGACACATGCACACGAATGTTCACTGCAGCACTGTTTACAATAGCAAAGACCTGGAACCACCCCAAATGCCCATTGACTATAGACTGGACAGGGAAAATGTGGCACATATACACCATGGAATATTATGCAGCCATCAAAAACGATGAGCTTGTGTCCTTTGTAGAGACATGGGTGAACCTGGAAACCATCATTCTCAGCAAACTGACACAAGAACAGAAAATCAAATACTGCATGTTCTCTCTCAAGGTGGGTGTCATACAATGAGAACACATGGACACAGGGAGGGGAGCATCACACACTGGGGTCTGTTGATGGGGGATAGGGGAGGGAGAGCGAGGGTGGGGTGGGGAGGTTTGGGAGAAATAACATGGGGAGAAATGCTGGATATAGGTGATGTGGGGATGGAGGCAGCAAACCACCTTGTCATGTAAATACCTATGCAACAATCCTGCATGATCTGCACAAGTACGCCAGAACCTAAAGTACAATAAAACAAACAAAAAAATGAGCTATCCAGTCATGAAAAGATATAAAGCAAACTTAAATGCATATTATTAAGTGAAAGAAACTAATGTGAAAATGCAAGATAATGTATAATTGCAACTATGTGACACTCTGGAAATGACAAAACTACAGAGACAGAAAAAAAGATCATTCATTGCTATGGGATGGGAATGGGGTCAGGGAGGGAAGAATGAACATACAGAGAACAGAAAATTTTTAGGGCAGTGAAACTATTGTTATGATATTATAATGTTGGATACAAGACATGGATACATTTGTCAAAACCCCATCGAATGTACTAAACACAAGATATGGATACATTCGCCAAAATCCCATAGAATGTACACACAAGAGTGAACCTTAATGTAAACTATGGGCTTTGGGTAATATATGCTAATGTGGGTTCACTGATTATAACAAATGTACCCTAAAGTGCAGAATGCAGTGGATTAGGTTGTTCTTGTGTGAACAGGGGTATATGGGAACTATATGTATTTTCTGTTCAAATTTGCTGAGAACCAAAACTGCTTTAAAAAATAAAGTCCAAGGCTGGCCATGATGGCTCACACCTGTAATCCCAGCACTTTGGGAGCCTGAGGCAGGCAGATCACAAAGTCAGGATATCGATACCATCATGGCCAACATGGTGAAACCCCTTCTCTACTAAAATACAAAAAGTTAACCAGGCATGGTGGCCCACGCCTGTAATCTCTGCTACTTGGGAGGCTGAGGCAGGGAAACCGCTTGAACCCAGGAGGCGGAGTTTGCAGTGAGCTGAGATCTCACCACTGCACTCCAGCCTGGTGACAGAGCAAGACTCTGTCGCAAAAAAATAAAAATAAATAAAGTCCAATAGTTTAAAATATATGTATATATACTTTTTAAAAAACCCTTACACATCAAACTGTTCGGATATTTATTTCCTGTCCTCTATTAAGATAGTTCCTCTAAGACCTTTTTTGAACAAGTAATTATAGCTTGATTTCTGGGTTAAGTTTTAATTTCACCACAGTATCTTTCAAAAGCAAAATATGTCTATGCTGGCATTTCAGAAATACACTTATCTTCAGATTCTTTTTGCTTTGGCCAGCACCAGGATCTTTTTAATAACACATACACTGACGTGTTAGGCTTGACACATGACAAGCAATCTTAAAATTAATGCTTTGAAAAAAATCATCACTGCCAGATAATGCTTATAATACATGGAAATAACCGTGTAACCAGATTATATAAATCTGAAAATTATTTCCACAAAATCTATAAATTTTGGAATTGGAAGGAACCATAGAGAAGATTCAGTTCACCTACTCCCATTTGAGGTGTACTGCAGAACATCCAAAATCATTATTTGCAAGATATTATCTCCATACTTTACCCCATCTACATCTCCAGTATCATCTGCTACTTTCCCCTCCACTAGACCCCTTGTGTCTGCTGTGCAAAAACTCCCCATTCTCTTATTAATTTGCTAAGTTCTTTCATATAATCAGTGTCTCTAAACATGCTGTTTCTTTAGTCTGAAATTCACTGGGACCTAGCCACACTTAGCAAACTCCTATTCATCTTTCACCACTGTTTAAATAATAATTAGGTAGATGAAAGACTTAATTTAAGAAAAGCTTGACCATAAAATTCTGACTGTGGAATAGTTTTAAATACAAAAAGAACTGTAATGAAATCTTGAACTTTATTTAGTAGGTAGTTGGTTGCTGTTACTGGTCTAGCAATTTTTTGGGAGAGGGGGTTATTGTAGTATAAAGCATATGAATAAATATGACTGATGCTGGGAAGCAGGAGTTTTATTGTGAGTGAAGGGAGATTCAAACACGGAATAAAGAAAGATGAGGAAGAACCCTGCAGTACTAGTTTGAATTGCAGTACTAGTATAAATTCACTAAAAAAACAAACAAAAACCAGGTACCCCTTGTACTTGTTCTGTCCACTGAAGGGGTCAAACTACAATGGCAAGAAACAGCAATGAGCAAATCTCTACTCAGACTTTTGTTTTCAAATACCACTGTCCACTAAATAGGCAGTACTAGGACTTCTGAAAAAATGGCTGATTCCAGGTCAGGAGCAAGAGAAAACCAAAGTAAGGCTAGGCATCATGTTACTCTTGTTTCATTTTGTTTTTGAATCTGGGTCTCCCTCTGTTAAGCAGGCTGGAGTGTCATGGCACAATAATGGCTCACTTCTGCAGCCCGGAACTCCTTGGCTCAAGCAATCCTCCCACTTCAGCCTCCAAAATAGCCTGGACTACAGGCATGCACCACCATACCTGGGTAAGTTTTTTTTTATTTTTGTAGAGATGGGGATCTCACTATGTTACCCAGGCTGGTCTGGAACTCCTGGCTTCAAGGAATCGTCCTGAACGTTATGTTAAGGAAGTGCTCAGACTTAAAGAACAGTAATGTTAAAAGGATACAGGAGCCAGCCACTAGTCAAATTTGGAACAGTTTTAGCATACAAAAGTCAAAAAATTTTGAGTAAAAAAAAAATACTATGTACTTAATTATTAAAAATAGAAGAAAAAAATTTCAGGTATAATTCTTAGGAGATATATGCCGAAATATTTAGGAGTGAATCTCAAGATATCCACAATTTACTTTCAAATGGTTCAGCAAATATGGAGGAAATACATCAAGATGTTACAACTGGTAAAAATAGATGAAGTATATGGGTATTCATTGTACTCTTAACTTACGTGTAGATTTGGTTTTTTTTAAAATAAAGGTTTGGGGGCGAAATCTCAGTTCAAACGTCATATCTTCTGTGGAGGCTTTTTTTTGTACTTTTCTAGTGGAATTATTTTTTTCTATCTTCAGTTTTCCTGCAGAATTCTGTTTATATTTAGACTTTAGCACTTAACAAATTTGTTAATTGCTAATTCCTAGGTCTGATCTTTTTCCTATACTGTGTGAAACTGGCCTCATCCTCATTCCCAGAATTTAGCTCTTTATCTGGCACCTACTAGGTATTCAATGTTTGTTGTATGAATGAGATAACTGACATGCCACAGTAACAAGCTAAAACTTAATCTTGATATTGTCTACATCACCAGTCTCAAATTTAATCAAATCTATCAAGCAGGAACCCTATGAAATGGTCCTTTGTGACCTGTACCATTATAATGAGTACCCACATTAACATTCAGATTGATTTTAAATTGATTTAAAACAAAGCATAACATGTTTCCCTCAAGGAGGCTGACCCTTAAGTCATCACAGGCATATTTTCATTTTAAATTCTTCACACTTTTGACTCAAGAAAATTAGAGAAGCATACCTGCTCTATATCCTTGGAAGTGGAAGTCTGGTTTTCTCCCATGATTCCAGGCTGCTCATTTTCCCATGGTAATTTATTTTTTCCTTTTCCTGCACTTAATACCCTTCGGGTACAAATAGTTGGACTGTAAGATCCATAAATTTGCATGCTATCCCTCATGTGGTCACCACAGTGGCAGTGTGCACTCTGAGTTCTGTTACCAGCCAGAAGCCAGTCAGTATCTGCTCCATATGCCAAATGGTTTGACCTATCCTGGGCAGAAGATGGCATGAGTACTGCATATTCCACAAATCCCTGCTCTGTTAGCCTTGGTAAGGTTTTCCTAGCCAGTCTGGCCTGCACAGCATTTATCACTCCATCTCCATTATCTTGCAGTTCAACAGTATCCACAGCTTTAAAAAGGATGCTGGTTTTACCTGAGCCCATTGATGATGCCAATACAGCAAAAGCTTCTAAAGCTGCTTGGCGTACCCTGCGTTTGCTATCTACAAGAGCTGGGGCTAGATCAAAGGACAGTTTGGGCAAGTCAAAATCCTCACTAGGATAGGTCAGCAGGGAGCAGATGCATATGTTCACCACCTCCTCTCTCACTCTGGAATGCTTATGCTTGAGATGTTCCAGGAGTAAACAAAGAACCTGCTGAGGTCCTACTTCCTTCATTAGCTTGAGGAAGATTTTCATGTATTCTTGTTTAATCACCAACTTGTTGTCTGCCAGCACTTTGACAGAAGCTGCTATAACTGGTCCCAAAAACTGCTGTACCTGCTCTCCAAGGCGAGTAACCAGTAAATGCAGGACCTGAAGTGTGCCATGGACCACTTTGAAGTTAGAATCATCTAACAAATTATATAGCAAACTAATGAAGCCAACAAGACTAGAATGAGGAGTAGAACTAGGGTTAAATTTTCCCAGCACCTGCTTTAGTTCTTCGACGGCCTGAGTCCGGTTCTTATAGTCTTCCTGATCCAACAACCGTGAATGCAGCTCCTGAGGAATAATCCCAAATTTAAGATTGCTGTTGGAAAGAGTCACTGGACAGGGAAGGGGATCTTGAGGAAATCCTGAGGCTTCAAGTTCCAAATAATAAGGAACCTCACCTCCAAACTGGGACTCCAGGCGGCGGTTGTAGTGTCTCCTCAGGGCAGAGGGCAGACGAGAAATATAAGACTGAAATCTGTCTTGGCCAAGTCGCTCCCCAATTTGTTGAAGTGCGGAGAAAGCTGTCTCAGATTCTTCTTCTGTCTCCTGATCACCAAGCTTTCGGGCTAGGGATATTATCACCTCAGTGAGATCCAGACCAAGTAACAAGTCCTCAGTAGTAAGCAAGATGGGGAGCAGCAGTGCTGTGGAAGCTCTAAGTCGGGCATCGGTACTTTCCAGTCCTTGCTGTATAAGCGTTCTCAGCACCTCTCCAGAACTACGTTTCAGACATATGTGCAGGATCTGCAGCGCATCTTTCCGCAAGGCTGGATTCTCTTCCCGTAACGAGACAACTAGTTGAGGCAAAAGTGCTAAGCTAAAGGCCTCTTCCAGCTGGCCTGCCTCCCCCTGACCCCGGAGAACGTCTGAGAGAAATTGCATGCAGAGTCGCTTCTCATCACTACCTCCTTCCACAAGCACTCGGCCCAGTGCCCGATACAAAGCTTCCTTGCGTCGGGGAAAGCCAAGTCGACCGCCCCGCCTCGGTAAAGCAGCTTGCAAAGCCTGAAAGGCCTCAGAAGGATCCGGCGCGGTGCGGAGGAGTTGACGGAGCCGAGTCTCCTCTTCATCTCCCCCAGACAAACTGCCTCCAGACCCAGACCAGCTGCTAGAGGCTGCCTCCGAGGGCATCAAGACGGCCGAGGCCAGAGGGGAGGTTGTAGTGGGGCAGGAACCGTGGTCCCCCGCAGCTCCACGGCAGTAGTAGTTTTTCTCTCCTCTCATAATGCCCCCAACTCGACTATCAGTCTCTGAGGCGGAAGGACGACTGCGTCTCTGGAGCTGATAGGCACAGAGGACTGGAAAGGGCGGCAGCAGAAGCAGGGCGGAGGGCGCAGCCGCCATGCAGGGTCGTCAGGTGGCGGTGGCTGGAAGAAACCATTGCCGTCTCTGACGGGCTAGATGGAGCCCAGACTTCCAGATCCTCTCCAAGGCCCAAACTGCAGAAGAGGAAAAAGAACAGCTTCAACCTGCCGCCAGGCCGCCCCCAACTCCGGGAGGCAGCCTCTGGCAAAATGGCCCCCGTCTGCGCCCTAGACCCCACAGCTGCCACCGGGCGTAACCAGGGGCACCACGTGACCAAACCGATCGCTTCCATGGTGATGTACCCAGCGCGGACCTCTTAACCCGGAAATCCACTTGCCGTGATGAATGCTGGGTTACGTAGTTTACGTCAGATGTTAAGAATAGGCCAAAGTCTCCTGGAAGAGGAAATCACAACGCTGTGAACGGAGAAGGGAGGACGGGTGAAGACAGTAGACGGATGTGACGCTTTCCTTGCTCTGGGCGGAAGTTGCCCGCCCCACCCATAAGAGTTGGGGTTAGACCGGAGCTAGTGAGGATCCAGCCCAGGTTCCAATTGTCCGCGGCTCCTCCTCCTGTCGCTGCCAGCGTGATTACTGGGACTCAGGTATTTTCCTTTTGCTGTCCTCCAGCGGTGCAGGCTTTGGCAGTGTTTTGCCTGAATGCCACTGGTGCTAGAGTAAGAGGCAAAGGAATGAACGGAGCAGGTGGAAAGAGAGGCGACATCTTCTTGTGCAGGGCTCGTTACCCTTGTAAACGCGTTACTCTCTACAGCCCTGAGTAACAGCGATCCTTTCCTCTTGCCATCTGCTTATCAGGACAGAAGATCCAGACCACGGCCAAGCTCACAAATCGGGTACTTTTTTTTTCAATTCCTGGTTTTTGGGGCCTTTATTCTCCCCGCCCTCCTACCCCTTCTCCTTTTGTCGACTTCTCTTAACCCTCCGGCCGTGGAGGGTTAATTTTTCGGGGGTGGGGTGAGGGGTAGCGGCCTTGTTTCCTTACCCCCATCACTTTGCGTTCTCTATAAGCGCACACAATCTGGAAATAGGTCTGTTTTTTTGTTTTTGTTTTTTGTTTTTCTGTAGCTAACTGCCTCTCCCGTAGCCGTTATCAAAGTCTTTCCTTCTAATGCAGTTCCTCTTTGGGACTCTCCCCTTCCCTCCGCCCCCTCCGTCTGCCGCCCTAGCCTCCCTGCAGGATCCTCAAGCGTCTCTGCAGCCTTTCAGTCTCCTAGAGACAGATTGCGAAGACAATTTCAGTTGCGGTGGAAGTTCTTAGCATCACGGTTCTAAGGGAATTCTGCCCTGTGGATTTAGGAATGATAGTAGACATTTCTTTATTTTAGGCGAACTGAGAATTTGGTGTGCATTTTTCTTCTCGTAAATGATACTTAAACGGACACATTGGAAGAGCTGGAGTGTCTAGTGTGAGCCTGAATGCTTTGGAGTGTGGAAGAGAGATGTTTTTTTTGAAGGAGTAATACAATTACTTTTGAATGACCCGTGCGAAAAGTCTAAGTTATCGTTTGAAGACCCAAATTTATGCACTTCAGATGCAAGTATTCCTACCCTGCTCTGTACCAGGTGGGATTTCTCTTAAATACTTTTTAAAGCCTTGGAATAATTGAGTCACATATACCAAACAGCTTTATAAATAATGCTCCCAGCTGATGCAAGTGCAAAAGTAATTTCTGGACTTTTGCCTTAAAGCACAATTTGAATATCACAGATTTTTTTTGCAGGGATTGGAGGGGAATAGACTATTAATGTAAATGAGGCTGTGTAAATATACATCCTGTGTTTTGATTTAAATTCTAGGTTGTTACTTTGGTTTTAATGGCCATTTTCGTGTTTAAATGAATCTACCTAAATTAGGATTGGCTAGCATGTTTGATTTTAGGGACAGGTTAAAAGAAGGTGAAAAAACAATAAATGATTGTAGCAGTTGTCGATGAGAAAGTGTTTGGTTCTCATATTTCCAACCTAAGAAGCTTAAATGTATAGACTTCTGCTCATGTATTGCCCAGACTTGAGGAACCCAGTTCAAACTAACCTAGAGAATGATGTACACATTACAATGCCAGTTTATGTTGGATCGGAATTTTCAGGTTGAAAATCCAGTACACCCTTTCTTGTACCCAAGAACTTGGGAAGCCAAGTTAATAACTAGAGGTTGTGTAGTAATCATGGAATCACAGAAAAGGAACTTCAAAAGTCTTAAATGAACGTCGTGGATACTTAAGCAGTTATCATGCCCTGTTCCTGGAACAAAGCAAGATGAGTCTTCCTTTTGACTCGTTTTTTTAGGTCCCTGTGGATTATTATACATTGCAGATTGCTGTTTATTTTATATCTGTTATATTTTGTCTCTTCGATTGAAGACTTAGAAGATGCGTTAGTCTCCACGGTGGATATTCATCAGCATCACGTCTTACTGATTATCTTTTAGAGTCATTTTGTGGAACATAAATCTCATACGTTTAATGTGTATTCTGTTTATTACGAAGCAGATGTTTTAAAAAAATCTTACTTTGGAGGCCGGGCATGGTGACTCACACCTGTAATCCCAGCACTTTGGGGGGCCAAGGTGGGTAGATCACAAGGTCAAGAGTTCAAGACCAGCCTGACCAACATGGTGAAACCCCACCTCTGCTAAACATACAGAAATTAGCCAGTGTGGTGGTGGGCACCTGTAGTCTGAGCTTCTCAGGAGTAGGCTGGGGCCGAAGAATTGTTTGAACCCTGGAGATGGAGGTTGCAGCGAGCCAAGATTGTGCCACTGCACTCCACCCTGGGCAACAGAGTGGGACTGCATCTCAGAAAAAAAAAAGAATCTTACTTTGGAAATCTAGGAATTCCTCATATATTGACTTAAGCCTTTTGTGTTTAATCATATGAGTACAAGTTTTTAATCAATTTTTAGAATAGTAGAATACACTATTAGGTGTTTTATTAATAGTACACCTCAGAAGGTTAAAAGGCCATAGTTAAGGATACATTGAAAATTGCAAATTCAGGTAAAATAAATTTAAAATTTCAGTAACTTTAAGAGTGTAGTTAAATTAGTGAATTATAGGAATGTTTGTGCTACATATGTTAATTTTCTTAGCTGAACTTAAGGGTAAACACAATTGCCTTAAAAACTTCCTTTATTTCTAGAATCAGAGATAACACATTAGTTCCCTGGGCGAGTCACTATGATTTTTCTGTGCTCTTACTCAAATTTTACAGACATCTAGGAATATTGAACATCAGTGTGAATTCTGTAAGCTATAAAGAATTTTGTATAGTTTGAGAAGTTATTGTGAAGAAATGCTATGCAAATGAAAGTTGCTATTAATATTAACAAATAATTACAATAATACCATGTTTTGAGTATTTACTATGTGCCATGCACCATGCTAGGTACTTAGTAAATATTAACTCATTTAATCCTCACAAGAATTTTTTGAGGTTACATCTTCTACATTTGGACTATGACAATTTTATGGGTGTTTCCACAAAAGAGTAATTGGACAGAGGAAGAAAGTAAAACTCACATTTGCTTAGAGCTTGGAGAAGGTTTTATTGGAGGTCAGTATTGAAACTTTAGGATAAAATTAGATTTTTTTCCATTGTTAATTATTCATATATTTTATTATATATCATTGGATTATATATTTTTTCATTTTTTTTTCAATCCTTGTTTGGTTGAAGATTATCTTTTAATTTATCTTTTTTGAATTACTAATCAAAATCTTTTTAGTTTCTTGTTTGAGGTAATACTTTAATAAGTTAAGAAATTGAGGCCAGACACGGTGGCTCACGCCTATAATCCTAGCACTTTGGGAGGCCGAGGCAGGTGGGTCACGAGGTCAAGAGATCGAGACCATCCTGGTCAACATGGTGAAACCTCGTCTCTACTAAAAATACAAAAATTAGCTGGGCATGATAGTGCGTGCCTGTAGTCCCAGCTACTCGGGAGGCTGAGGTAGGAGAATTGCTTGAACCCAGGAGGCGGAGGTTGCGGTGAGCCGATACCGTGCCATTGCACTCCAGTCTGGGCCACAACAGCGAAACTCCGTCTCAAAAAAAAAAAAAAAAAGAAATTGTGAGCTTATTTTATACAGTATTGAATCAGTTTTCTTGATGTATAAGAGTGATATATTTTCATCTGCTTAGGTTTATCTTCCAAAGCCATTACATATTTCTGTCTTCAGTCAAAACCATAATTTTAAACGAAAATCTAACTTGTATTGCATATTAATTACTATGTATAAGTTAACAGAATTTCACGTCTGTTGCAAACAGTTTTTCAGTGGACGGGTTAATTATGTAACTTAGACACCTGTCATAACATAGATTCAGAAATAACACAGAAGAAAGCAAGTTCCTAAAGCCATTACCACATCCAGTAAGGCTCTGACAGGCTTCTAATAATAATCTTAGTCAAGTAATAATAAAAGGCAAATCTCAGAGAAAGGGAAAAATCCCAATTTATTCCATAGGCTTACTGATAATTATATACCATTCTTAGTTGAATTCTCCTGTCAAGAAAGTTGAACTGTGGGAAACAAATTTAAGAAAAGAGCAGACGCAATAAAATATTCTCCTAATTTCATAAATCATTTCTTATTTTCTCCTTTTACAGAAAACTTTTTTTTTTTTTTTAGCATAATCTTGATTTCTGCTCCCCATTTACTTACTCTGGTTGTGATCTATATAGGGTGGCAGATAATTGCCTCCCAGCTGATTTCAGCACCACTGTTTTGTGACTTAGGTGTCAATTAAGTTGGTAGGAACTAAACTCACAACTTGACCTTTATTAACTTAGTTTCAGAGCCTGAAGTTACTGTAGACTATGGAAAGTTTGTTTTTATTTTAATTTCAGGTAGATACTTTTTATTCCTTATTGACTAATGCAGTTACCAAGATTCAGAATACTGTGGCAGGGATATGGAGGAACCTGCTATACCAAATCTGCTTTTAGACAAATACTGGAAGGCAATGATTGTTTCTTAGATCCCTCTTTATTTCATTTTAAAGCCCTGATGTATTTTTTGTATCTAATGTGTATATATTTTATAAAGATTTTATATGAATGATCCATCCTCTTTGGATTTCTGTTCTGCACACTTTTAGTTTCTTGAGTTAAAATTTTAATAAGATTAAGAAATTCTGAGCTTGTTTCATAAGTGAGGCAGTATAATAGAATATTTAAGAATTACATAGACATGGGCCGGGCGCGGTGGCTCAAGCCTGTAATCCCAGCACTTTGGGAGGCCGAGGCGGGTGGA